TTTTTGTTCAGAAATGAGCTGTAGCCTATCTCCATATCTCTATTTCCCTTCTTATAGGTAATTCTTTTCCCCTTCAGATTTGGGTTGGTATCTAGTCCTTACGGAGTTCAATCAACAGGTATTTTTAAAAGGTTTTACAGCTGAATAGGTCGTGGTGATTCGAAACACCCAGGCTTGTAATTAAAAGGACATTATTACGCGCCATTGAGTTGTGGGATGTGAACGCGGTATAGATCTGATTTTGAAAACGTCTTTTCGTTTGTATATAGTAAAACAACGCGCTTGTATGCCAAAGCATGCGCATGAATATATTACGATTTACTACTGTATTTATTTACACTCGACATATTTTAAGCATTTTGTTTTATTAAGGAATCTACATTCCTGATTCCTAAACCTGGGTTAGATGCACTATTGTATGGGAAAAGGTCTTTACGGCAATTTTCAAGTTTCACACTGAAAACTGTTAACACTTAGGCTTAGCTGTATGAAACGGTTACTTTATGACATATTTTAATATTATAAATTAACATATTCACCTGAATACAGGCCTATCGTGCACGCCACACTTTCCGTTACAATGGTTTTGACTCCTGGGTTTAGCGAAAAATGTGAGAGCAGTATAAACACGCAATTAATCAAGATCTAACGTCGGAGTTCGCATATCGAAAAAATATCTACCGCCGTGAAAACTGGAATCCCGGACCAAATTAAAATAGCTCTAATCCTCTGAAATACATTTTTTACGTCTAAATGTTATCAAAATCACTCTGTGTTTATTCTGTCTTAAACTCTGTCTTTCCTGTTCCAGTAAACTGACATCACACCAGTCTATCCCACTGAAACCAAACGAAGCACTGCCAGTACGCTCTCAAATTGCAGGGTGCAAATTGAACATTCCGAAGTTGCTTATGTCTCAGGTCTCAGGAATAAAAAAAACTGGAGGAAAAATCCCAAACCGACGTCAGGCGGTCTGTAGACTTATGCTGGTTCTGGGTTCTGTACCATCACAGACGTGGTTCTGATAGACATGAGCTTCTCGGTGCCTGCCAGGGTATTGAATTTAGGCCAATGCACTGAAGGCGATGCCTTTCCTTTCCGTGACCCGTGAAATAATGTATAGAATTGTTTACTCTGAGCTCTGATCTCACTGTCAGACACTCTATTGTACAACACACGTGGGATCCACACTCTCAGCGCCAGTGTTTTACAGTCATTAGAGATTTTCCAAGACGTGCATGATTACATTTTCCACTCCTTCTACTGGGGTCAAAGTAGCAAAGGCGTGAAAGCAAAGCTGTGTAGTCAAGTACAACAACAGCAGAAGCAACAACCACAACAACAACAACAACAACAACAACAATAATAATAAAATAATAATAATAATAAAAATAACAATAAAAATATTATTATTACACTCTATGCATTTTGGGCATGAAATATATAAATATGAATGAAAATACAATCTGAATTACATACAATGTGTAATATTATTAAAGTGTTGCAGTGCTTTTGCACACACCAAAAGAGCTACATGGGCCATCAGTATATTAGACTTGTTTTTCATTTAGCCAATGGAAGTCAAATACTTTTTATATTTTTATCTTCAAACGTCGGGCTTGGTTTCCAAGCCTCGTCTCCAAGTCGGGGGAGATATTTTTTTGGTATTTAAAAAAATAATTTCAGCTAAAGAGATATGCGTTTCTCATTATGTTTACAGTCAGTGGGCGTGTAATAAAAACTTGCCGAAGTGTTTACATGCGTTATTAATTTTTCAGGGCCCTAACCACAATTCGAAGGCTAACCGAATAGAATTGGTTTTCTTTAAACGTCTCTAAAATTATTGAGGTATCGAAATTATAACTCGCGCTTTGAAAAAAAAAACAGAGAAGGCCAGAACTTCGGAATCGGCTTCAGAGATTGTAGCCCTTACATTATGGTTTTGGTTAATTGAGAGATCCCATACCCGCCGAAAATCTAAATGAATTCTGAAGGTTTTAAGCTTAAAATGCTTTAGTATCTCATTCATTCCCCTCCTACAACAATGTAACATTTTTACAAGTATCAAACGCGTGTGTGCTGTAAATATGAGATTATGAGAGAACGGAACCATATAATTTCTGAAAGGGAATTGATTCCTGTATTTACAACTAAATAAACAATATTGAATTGGCAAATTCGCATGTCTATGGAAACCATATTTTCTCTTGCTCTTGCCCTGTGCGCCTTTTTCATGAAAGCGTGCTGTGAAGGAATGTAAATCACAGTACTATCACTCCTAAAATGCTGCTACTGGTACGATAATACCACTACAGCTTTACTAATGCTAATGCCAATAGTACTACTATTAATAAGAAGACTTTCGTACCCTTGTACACGTGCCTGTCAAGTATGTCTAAAAATGGCTACTAGTCTTAAATCCTTTCAGAGACAAAAAAGTGCAGTGTTGGTTTTCTGTTAATAGTGCGCGTTGTTGTCGGCACTACTAATAACAAACTGTGATCTTCTGATGGAAGGGATTTTGTGACCGTTTTCTCTTTATAATTACAATACATAAACAACGGAAGGAGAGCAAATTTCAGTGTATCAGTGGTCCCGAATTATTTTGATTAGTTTTCAAACTCTGGAAGTCTTGAGTTGAGCTGAGGTTCAATTTCACTTTAATTCGAAAGCGGTAAAGGCAGATTCGTTTTACGATTTTAAAATCACGTCAATATTTAAACGATGTGTGAAACTTTACCTAAGAGTTCTTTTAACAAAAAAAACCCCGAAAGTGGCAATGAAATAAGGTAGGGTACACGCATTTTAAAATAAAAAATACAGAAATATATGAACCCTACTCTATAAATACTACTCTCGCAATAAAAAGAATGATGGTTTTTCGGTCCCTGGGTGGATGATTGCTGTTGACGCCCCCTAGTGGTGTCTTTGTTTGAAAATGTATACATGAGGGCTATACAGCACCTCTGGTGATCGGTGGAAGAGGAACACTAGACAGAAGATAGCTAAGAGTCGGCCGGAAGAACAAAAAATGTTTAAACTATAAAAGGAGGAAATATAATGAATAAACTGAATGCTTTCTATATTGATCAACTTTTAAGTATCATCATTGCAGTGTTTACATGCAACATTTCTATCCTTTGTTTGAAATTTGAGGACACTTCACATCAGGATATTCCTATAGCTGCCTTTTCTTATACTTTCTGTAGTAACATCCAAAACGTAAATTTTATTTTTGGACGGCTTGATAGTTGTCGCAGCAGTACTGTTAACGAAACCTATTTCAGTTGCGCGGTTAGGGCTTTGACAATGTTCACAAGACGGCTTCGAACAATTGCTTTCTGACGGAGCTCTGAAACCTAGTCAAAGAAATATTTCAGACCCCGAAATGGACCGTACGTATGTGCTCACAGAAGACTATTGCTTATTTAAAGCGAAATTAAAAATATCGAAGCGTCACTTTTGAACCTCTTTAAAGAGTGTGGCAGTGCGGAACAGTGCGAAATGTACGCTTCTATGATAAAAGTGAAGAAAAAAACACACATTTCAGCATTATACTTCAGTATATATGAATAATTATAGCCCACATTTTAAAAAATGTCTTAAAACATTTCAAAGTGGAAATTTAAATGTTACACTTTAAATCCTGAAACCATGTGTTATTGTTTCGTTTCTAATTGATCGTTTTGCCTATTGCATTCCAGCGTCGATAACCAAGATATTAAAACGCTAAAAGCTTATCTGCAAAAAATTCAGAACACAGACAGATTTCTATTTTGTTTTTTTGTGTGCAATAATCATTAGAGCAGTCTACTGCTCCTTCGCGAAACACATCTTTCACATTTGCACAACATCGTGTTGGCCTTTAGTAGAGCCTTTAGACTTGACTCATTCAGAAAAACCAACATAGTCTGATCTTTGCATGAAGTCGTAATTAATCCTAAAATAATGAGCGACTGTCATTTTGATATAGTCTGCATCACCCTTAAGTTGCACATTTTTGTACCCGAGCACGCTGACAAAGATCTTAAATGACCAAATACAAAATCTGGATTTTGAAGTAGCTTACACCAAACAGCAGACCCAATATTCTCTCTTTCTTAAACATGAAATGCACTAAACAGTTGTCTTGTCTTTCCAGGAGCTCCTCTGTGTATGTGTGTTTAAAACGGAGAATATGAGAGACATTCCAATGGCTTTTAGATTGTATTAGACTTAAAAATGGCTTTAAATTTAAATATTTTTCAACACGTTGGGTGGTTTCCCGGGGATAATGTGATAATGTTAATTAATTCTTCCACCTTTTAATTTCCCTCCTGTATTATTATCATCATCGTGGCGGCAGCTGCCTGCTGTTGAGGTATCACTATTTGAAGTGCTAAATCGTAACAATAATCAGTAGGAAACAAACGATATGCCCAGCTTCTTCGATCGCCTTTTCTTCCTGTATAATATTTTCATCGACGGTTATTTCTTTTTTCACATTTAATGGTCTATTATAACAGATCGTCACACTCAAAAGGCAGTTACACTTCTTTTTAAACACCCTCTCGTTTGCTTTAATTTATAATGAATTGACTTCATATTTAATAATATGCTTTTAATGAACACTTTAATGTATGCACGTAATGAATGAAGCATTAACGGAAGGCTGCCATCCTAGATTTTCGCTTTGACAATCGAAATTAAAAAATGTGATAATTTACTCCAACCACGGTGCTCTCCTGAAACGTTCCATTTGTCAATGGGCGATTCAGGCAACTAAGCCTCGCCCACCAGGGCGACGCTCACCAATCCGCTGCGACCCCGCCTCAGCGGAGTACAGCTTGCAGCCCATTGGCTGCAGCTGGAAAGCGCCTCTTTCTGATTGGCGTTCCAGCTGTAATTGACAGGTTGTTCGAGGCGGAATCCTTGGTTTCGAGGCTGAGCCTAAGGCGCTGTCCACATGAGAACGGGTTCTGAAACTGCCTTTCTGCACTATGGATGTGGCATAGCCCGAAGGCACAACCAGATACCAACTCCTTGCGCTTGTTTTTCATCGCGGGAATCAGCTATTTTTTTTTTTACATGAAGAACAATAAATCTCGCATTTTTCCGGTCTCCCCAAGGCTGCCGTGGAGCATTCCTGAAGAACTGAGCTGCATGCTCTCTTTTCTGTGGAATATTTTCATTTTAGGAAACTGTAAAGCTGATGAAACTTAACCCGTGTTTTTTTTTTTGGTGGACTGGAAATCAATCTACGAAATAAGGGGATGCCCCAGCTTGGATTTTTAAAAAATATCATCTGATATTTATTTTTGTTGACTTCTCTAAGTCTAATATTCACTTGCTTGAACCATTCAATGCTTTTGTGGAAACAATATGCGTAATGGAGCTTGAATACTTTTAAAAAAAAGACTGAAAGGAGACTTTTCATATCACCGAATAAGAACATATCGGGATATATTTCTCAGCTTTTCTACACATTAAACGGATTGTTAATTCTGGCTTTAATAAACATTAACATGGAAATGGCTGTCCTATGATGGTTAACAACGAAAGCTCGACAGGAGTAGTTTTCAGTTTGCTTTTAAAAGACTGATCGTGATTGTTCGGCTCCTCCATTCACTATTTGCAGGTCGACGGATCTGAGCACGGCCAAGCAGGCAGACGGGCTACAACTGAGCTCACAAGGAGAGTAGGATCGCTAGTCTAGTTGTGAGATTTGCACTTTTATTTAAGGTGTCACTACAAGTTGTCAATCGATAGATCAATCAATCAATCAATCAATCAATCGGCCGGTCCATTATTAAACTTGTCTATGGAATTTCCACCGTTTCTAACGGCCACATTCGGACAATAGTCCACACGACCACAGACAATATCGGGTCGGTTCTGTACAGAAAAGCGCCTTTTAAATCAAAGAATATCGCTGTCACTGCGATGATACTTTTAAATTGTTCGTTTTTCAGATTTCACCATTTTTGTTGTATGCATTCTTGGTAGCCTGATTATTTTTTTTTAAACTTAAGTCTGAATACCAAAGGCAAGTTTGAAATAATTTCACTGGTTTGGGACCTTAAGTGACCCACAGGAAACGAGAAGCTTGTCTGCGTTCCCCTTTTTTTTCTTGCCTCCTGTCTTTCCTCTCTTTCCTCCCGTTTCTCAGTCTCATTTTTGTACAAGGCACTCGGAGAGTAAAAAAATCTCTACAAGAAGGTTGCGGGAAGGAGTTTATATCGCATCTTAAGGGTTGCTATCCAAGCAAAAGACTTCTCCGATGGAAATACACTGTAAGCACGACCCGTTTGCAGCAATGCATAGTAAGTAGGTTGCTTCTTCTTTCAAGGGGAATTCGGAATAGTTTTCTCGCGTCTCCAGCTCCAAGTTCAAATGTATTTAAAGTGTGCTGGTTTGTGACAGGAGCTTGCCTTCCTCGGAAGCTCTGGGCACCATCAGTGAGCCAGCGAGTACAACAAAGCAACAATGAACTTGACCTCGTTTGTAACAAACAAGGGTGCAAGGTTAACATTTCCTGACACGCAACCAGCTCCGCAATCTTACATTTATGCTGTATATATATGTATGCACGAGCACGTATCTTAATGAGATATTAAACGTATCTTATGTACTAAAAACAAATTGTGTGCGGTAACAGCCTTTTCTAATTGGCATTCATCATGCTTTATCGATTGTTAGGCAGGATTATATTGTATTAACCCTAGCCATTTCTACTTTTATCATTAAAGTAAAAGACAGCAATCAATCTAATTGTGTTTTGTTCACGTAAGTACGCGAGTTCTTGATTTGAGACAAGGTTTGCGGTGTAATTTGCACATTAGGAATCTCCTAATCTTGAAAACGGTAAATGCCAAATAATTATTAAGAGGCCTGTCAGTTGAAGCAAATGTTCGGATATTTCTGAAAATATCTGGCTGTAAAATTTTATATGTATAAAACAAAAACTATGCACACATACTCTTGCAATTGCACTACTGTCAGCGTACATACATGTTCTGTTAATGCCAGTGAGTTACACAAAATCACACTCTTTACAGCACAGGGTTTTTAGTTAACACTGTTTGCGTGTAAAATGTGTTTCCCGAGATTTGATGTGCTTGAGAGAGTTTGAGAAGATTTGTCCATTCACACGGTGTTATGTGAAATGACATCTCCTCTCACGGTGAGTTAAACGCTGGATTAGACATACAGATTTCAAAAAGCTAGAACTAATCACATTTCCTTTTAAGTTCAGCCTTTTCAAATATCAAAGCGCCGATTTAAAGTCATAACACACAGGTTACAATATATGAACCTCCAAGGAAACAGATTTTAGAACAAAAGTAGGAACTCAGAGGCTTAAAACAAATCAAGAAAAATAAAAGCGACGTACACGGATAAGAAAAGATCAACAACCATTAGTAACAAATTATTCGAGTTACTCTCTTACTATTAAAATTAAGGATTTATTCTTAAATAAGAGGTGAAATTAATAGTTCTGTTTTGGGTTGGTTATTTTTGTATTGCACGCATTTAATTCAATGATGATGTATGCAAATGCATCTTTAGCTGTACAGGAGGAATTTCAGACCCTGTGAATTACAGAAATAGAGCGTACTTGCTGTATTATACCGAATAACTTCAATTTTAAAGAAAAGGTCGAAGACATTTAAAATAATTGTTTGCTTGTGCAATCCATCAGAATAACATCTATCATTTATGTCTCGTAATTTATAGACTATTCCTGTTTCAGATTTTAGTGAAGCAAGTAAAATAAAGATTTCGGGTTAATTAAAGATTAAAAACAACTAGTCTGCAATCTTGCTTAAACAATCAGTTTAAAAGGTGTCATGTTGTAAACATGTTGTGTAAGGTATAACATATATTTATGATATAAGAACCCAGAATTAGATGCTCATACTGTAGTTCTTGGTGCTCTCGCTTTCAATGTAGTATTGTTATATGATCTCTGAATTATTTTATTTTTGTACATGGAGGAAATATTGTTTAAATGCTCAGCGTCAATTATAGTATTTACTAAAAGGAGAACATTTCGTTTATGAACACATGAAAATCACGTCGATGTGAAACAAAGTTTTACATTTGTCATATATTTGTCTTTTTAGTGCCGTTTGACTGATCTTATAAGTTATCAATGTAAGCCAGTGGAACAGTCAGGACTAAACAAATGCAACATTTCTGACCTTTCTTTGGTTTTTAACCCACTGGCCCTTTAATAAGGAGAAGTCATTTTCCCAAGCGCTTTAGTCGATTTCTACTTTAATGTTTACCTGTGAAGTCGTGGGAATTGTGGTGGTCTGGCAAGCACTGTGGAACCTGCACTCCAAAACAGATGGGGACTACTGTTCTGTTCTTAGTACAGTACATAATGTTTCGAAATATCATCACTGCGCTGCTTTGTCTTAAAGGCGCAGAAAGCACATAGTTACAAACACCAAAAGCACCACCAGGAAACAGTTAAATGTTTTCTTTTCTAGCGTTTGGTCTAGTGTAGGAAAAAACACCATTCAGATTCTGAAGCCTTGGATGTTTTTCCTTGTATAATGTTGTCTTGTTATTTGTTATAAGCATGGCTGTTATTATTGGTTTTGGGCCAGCGATTTGGGCACTTGCAGTCAAACCGACAAGAACCATTCTCAGCTTATCGTCAGTGAACAAATTCTCACTTTGTCTTTTCATAGGACATTTTAATTTTACCTCAGCGTAGCCCACCTTATATACATTTCATATTTTGTGTGATTTTCCAGTGCGAATTTCCCGTTTTTCTGTCTTATTAACCATACTGCAATTACAACAAAAAGGAGTTTGATTAAATTTAACTTAAAAATCCACGGAATCGTTTTGTACATTCCTCACGTCTAAACACAGCACTAAAGTACAAAATTGAGCCAGTAGAACTACATAAAACATGGCAATAACTAATAAAAATGGTTAGACTACCTTTGACTTATATTTAAAAAGAAACCCCGTAACCGTTTAATAATTCAATTTGTAAACTGTCGTTCGGTGAAAGTGTATTCCAAATTACATTTGTCTTGTAGACGATTATTAATTATACAACTGAAACTTCCAATGAATAATTATTTGTGTCATTTTAATAATTATCCGTAATAGCCGTATTATCAACAATAATGACTTCACATTTTAAAAATATTTTGGATAAGAAAACAATCCACTCTATGTTACTTTTAACATTTCTTAATAACATACATTTTTAAATAACCGAAGTTGTGCAATTGTGTTTTAATCATTTCTCCCATTGAGATTTTTTTTGGGAAAAAAAGACATGTTGCAGTTTAAAACGTAGTCACTGTATTTTATAACCACAGTCCATGATGTGTGACACATACGTAATCTTTATCTAGTGTATTCATGAATTTCGTTCATAAGAAAATCGATTGGACCAGGCTGTGGTCTGTGGCGTTTATATATTCAATGCAAGGAATACTTTAAAATTGTACAGGATGAGGAGGCGAGCTGTGTCAAGTTGGCGAGTTATAAAGAAACAAGTACAGATTAATTCCACTCTGAACAGTAGAAAGAGGGGACCAAGCGTTTCGCCTTCGTCGCCTTCTTTAGAAGGAGCCTTTTTGATTAGGTAATAAATATCGCCTTTGTTACTTAGCGATGTTTTATATTCTACTTATTGATAAGGAAGCCAGTCTTTAGATACATTAACAAATATCAGCCGTAAAACTTCCTCCACGAGGACGTACGTAAAGCCAACACGATCACTTTATGGACAGAAGATGAGACCTTTTTGTAATTTGGATTTGAGTGAAATTGTATCGTCTTTATTTTCCAATGAGTATCCAAATAACTCAAAGGCACCGCGCTTGGAAAAGTAGCTCGCAGTCCTCAATCGAGCACAATCCTGCTCAAGCACTGCCGACATAGTGATCTGCGTGTTCAAGACTTGCATACCGTGTACTTGCATCGGGTGACGCTTAACACATTACTCGGCGACATCCTTAAACCTTAAACTGGTTTCTTCTTGTCAAAAGCTCCGCTATTCCGTTGGTTGTATGGCGAGTACCGTATAAGTACATGTATCTGTAAATAGCTTATGGAAACTATCTGCTATCGCCTGCGTGAGCTGTTTGCTTTAATCGTTCACGATCCGATGGCATGGATGTTAAGTAGAGTCAGCAATTACGCAATTATCAAATGCTATTAGCTTAATAACCGTTGGTATTCATTAGACTCACTTTATCACAATCAGCTTTAAAATAATTTAATAGTAAGTTATTTTACCGCCTACACAAACCCGTAATTAAGGCCTCGACTTCTGTACGCAAGCAAAGGCAATGGTATGGAAAATTAAAAGAAGAGGCTACACTGTCAATAGTTAGTGGACTAGTATAAGGGTCTGATGAGACGTCTTCACATTTACATTACATTTAATATTTTTTGTTCGGAGTCGATGAGTGTATGGATCTCATATACATATCCAGCAACACACCACACCTTGGGTTGAAACTGTAATATATATATATATCAATTCAAACCAAAATTTCCTCAAAGATTCTTCAGTGGGATTTCTTAAAACCTTTCTCTAGTACACATAAATGCGGCAAATACTGTGTTGTTTCAGATCCATATTGAAATTAAAAGCAATAGACCAAGAAACCAAAAGATCTCTGAAACTGCAACTCACAAATCTGCAGTATCTACAGGAAATGTGTGTGTAAAACATGTTTACACTTACTTATGCAGTATGTACATTTGTATATTTGTTTTCAAATATTATACACTGTGACAGCGGGTGAGGGAATGTAGTGCTTGTGATAAATAAAATTATTTTACATGGAAATAAAAACAAAAGCTGAAGTGTTTGGAGGATTTAGTCCTCCATCATGGATGTAGAAACTATCAAGAGTACTAGTGCTTCAAACAAATGCTTAACACATATTAATGGAGAGCTTGTAGCAAGAAGGCAAATAAACAGAGGCCTTACTACCTGTGCAACTTTCTTGACAAATTCACTTTCCACACACTCGCTGGTTTTGAAAATAGACTGAAGTAGTGCAGAGGAAATATGCACATTTGTGTACATTAACAGCAAATACGCACTGATAATCCTGCCAAATAAGCACAGCTATTTTTATGTGGCTGAAATGTCAGAATTTCTAAAGTTAAGGTCTGATTTACCTACATACTGTACCTGATTTTAAGTCAGCTTCAGTTCTCTTTATAGGTGTGAAGGTGTACATACACAGCAAGACTGCTTGTGTAGGACTAATCAAAACTGTCATAATACACTTTTGCCTTCTGGAGACAGTGTCAAGTAAGACCTAGTGGTATTCCTTTTTCATGGCGATGATAGCTGTAATCTGTAATCAAAATCTGTAATCTACAAAGCAAAACCCCCATGCCATGTTTTAATTGATTTAATGAAAAACCAAACATCAACAGCAACAAACGATGACTGAAATTAGCAATATAAAATCAAACTTGAATTTTGAAACTTGTGCAGTTTCAAAATTACATTTCATTGCTGTATATAAGTGCTGTACATTTCCGATTTCTCCATTTTGAAGTCTTTTACAAAGCAACAGAAATTCAGCAACAGCACATTTACTGCAGGTGAAATTTGTCCTACAAATGAGGTAATACCAGTATTAGGGAATTGTATTAATTTGTGTGTAAAAATGATGGACTTGTAATGTGGAGATTGAAGATACAAATGTTTGATGGTACATGTGCTATACAAAGGAAGATGATGTAGAGCTGAAGTATGGGGAAGAGCACTTTTCTCAAGTTTGTGGATTTCTATATACAGATTTCTTTTAATCCATAAACAGGAATTCAAGGATGAAACACAATATCATATTCTTCACATGAGTTTCTTATTGTGTCAGGATCTGTCAACAGTGTTTCTAGAAGTGTGATGATTCAGATCATTGGAAAAGCTTTGGCTTAGAAAATGCAACCTTTCCTTATTGATTAGATATACTTCATTTGGCAAAAAATGTCAAGGAGAGTAGTTTTATGGGCTTCGTGGGATTGATCAGCTATCTTTATGACTATCGGCGAGTAGATGCATTGTTATTTTTCTTTCCCTTGGTAATATAATTGGACGTTGGATTATTTCAAAATGCTTTTTCCCCTCTGTACGGTGACTGGCGCATTAGGAGAAACTATCTTTGCGAGCTACTGCTCCATTGAAAGAAGCCTTTTTTTTCCCCCAGACTGAAACGATGAAGATGAAAAAAGTGCACATCTTCAAAAACCTTTACATTTCTTTTACAAATTAAGTAAATATGGGATAATATAGGCTAGGCTTTCTATCGCCAGCTAAAAAGGGGGCATTCTGATGATAAAATGATTTTTTTCCCAAAGCAAATACAAAATGTGAACCACAGATAGAAGGTATATTTGGAGATAGGAAAATCAGAGAGATTCTGCTGAAAATCCCTAGGGCTGCCAGGCTGTGTTTAAAAACCATTAACCCCAAAGCTAAGATTACACTTTCCCTCCTGTTTTTTAAGGAAGCAATCAATATGTTAATATCTCAAAATAACTGGATTAACTTTTTTTCCTGTGTCCGTGTTCATCGTTTCTTTCTGGAGCTGTAGCATTGGCAGTTCATTTTTACGATGTCTAATCGGGACTGTTTTGTCTGAACATAATAAAATGTATTTGTGTTCATAGATATGGCATTAAGCACACGCAGATGAGTGTCTTTCTCCTCTGCTGTGAAACTACAGCCCAACAAAGAGAAGATAGCCTGCCTGCAGACAGGGTCTGCTGGCTCAGAGTGTGTTGAAGTTTGAGGGAAGGCTGCAGGTGTAAAAAAAAGTCTGAGGTCTGAGGCGGAGGGTTAATTTGGGAGGCTGATAACCTGTGAGGTCAGTGGGTGTCTGCTTTCATTTATTGTTTTTTTAAATCGATGCTGATGGTTTCTTTTTTTACCTTCGGAAGTATCTTGTTTTGCAAAGAAAACAGAGACGGCTTCGAGGAAATCCCAGACTCCTTTCAATCCCCAAAACCAGTAGTTTTTGTTGTTGCTTGCACTCTCCTAAAGAGAAACCAAAAAGAAAGGTCACAGAAGTAAATAAGACCATAAGGCCATAGCCTTGCGATTGAATGTATCTCCTTTAGCATAGTCCTAGATTTGCTGCCAAAAGTATTTATTTTTGTCCTTAAGAAAAATGTGTTCCCAGACTTAAATGACCCTCTTTCTTCCCACACCCCCTTCTCTGTCTCTTTTTTCCTTATGAACTAGGTGGCTCATGGTCAAAAAGCCTTTACTGTATATTTCTGGCTTTTTTTTCTCATACGACAATATGTTACCATCGGTGTTACTTTCATGCCCCTCATGCAAGGTTTATCTCCCATACCCATTTTCCAGCTGCTTTTTGTAAAACATTATGTATTAAGGGCATCGTGTTGAACATAACAGATAGGAAAGAAGTTGTAGAATGGGAACTACACGAGATTCGCCACTAGGGGCAGTCATCCGAGTTGTTTGCCTCGCTAGTGCTCAGTATATAGGGCTGTACAACACAAGACATTTCCCCAGAAATCATCATCTCTACCACTTTAGAATACTATAAAACAGTAGACGTCTACTGAGTGGATGTGGGATAGATAAGCATGGGGGAATATCCTGTTCTTGGGGAAGCTCTCTTATTTGTTTGTCCTGTAAGTTGTTTTCATTTCTAATAGAATCAGTTTAGTACATCTGAATAAGAGCCACTGATGTTTTTGTTAGGGTTTTCTGGAGAACCAGGATAGCCTTGGTTATTGGTAGCCTCTAAAACTTATGATCAGCACTGGTTTACATTGTGGGTAAATATCAGCTTTTCTATCCCTGTCACAATTTAGAGCCTGTAAAATACTGTGACCTGTATATTTACCAGAAAGTCATCAACATAGATGTGATTTTATGTGTTGTGTAAACAGAGAACAAGATTCTGTGAGATCAGTCTTGACCATTTTATTCTGAATGTTCAAGACAGGCTCCAAAAGATATGTCAAAGAAATCACAGCTGACATTTCCTCGGTGTTTAATTTAAATGTTCCAGATGTCAAAGATCCTGGATTTGGGTTAGCTGGTTCAATACACAAGCCTATATTCTGTATTTACATGTTTATGTGGGTACTGTATATGAACTATAATATATTTACAGTTAAAGGCAGTTGGAGAAAATATTTTAAAAGGTTATTCATTGCAATACAAATTATTTGTGTAGAGGATTCCTTTTTAAAACTAACAACAAGTTGAGTAAATAATAATCTTAGGACGTCTTGAGGTACAGAACTGTGATCTGTGTGTACGGGATTAGTGAACTACTGTATATGCATAGTTAGCATGGAAATACATTACTTTTTAAAAGCAACTGCCTCAGCACAGGCAATATAAAATAATGAACAAGGACTTTGGTTTTAGTTGCTTTTCTATTATGTCAAAATATTGAAAAAATCGCATTCAGAGCCATATAGATAAAAACACCTAACTCCACCTACAGTACAGAACAGATCCTTATCTTTTTGAAACTGTAAATTGGTCAATTTGTAGTAGTATCTACGCAAAATATTCTAGTTAATGACGATCTTATCATTTATAATGATAAACCTGTATTAGCTTGTATGCTATGCATAAAGAACCCATTATTTGACAGGTACGGATGTTGACTTTGCCCTTTGCCTTTATGAATACTTGTTTTTCTTACTGTCTTCTCCCTGTAAGTAAAAGACTTGACAGTTCTAGGGGTGATAGGTGTCTCTTCCTTGTCTTTAGCGCTCAACTGTGCATCTGCATCACATTTATTCAGTATGTTTGTATATATAGCTGTCTCTCAGTTCACATATGTAGGTGTAGACAGATAGACACGATGACAAGCACTTCTTTGGCTGGTCAATCACATGCTTGTATTAATGGGAAACCTGAAATAATACAGGAGATAGGTTTATGGCAAGTTACAGTAGATACTATGGGACACTATATGTGCTCTGATGCACTTTATGTTGAGGTGGCTAATAAATGAGAAATTTATGATTCTTCCGTTCTCAGCTGTGTTTCATTACAATTTAAACATCCTATGATAGAATTTCTAGCCGGGCATTCACTATGATTACCTTAATGATAAAGTGAGATTGTGGAAGTGTGGGAAACGCATTCAAAGATTTTCTTATCAAAGTTAAAGGTTTTAAAGTAGTACCAAATATTTATTTCAGGCACATTACATTTATTGACACTTTATGTCTTCTGTTTTTTTTAACTTCACAGGTTCACAGGTTCAACTTCACACTAGCTTGAACTCTTTCCTCACCAGTGACAAGCTTGGCAATTTCATCTTGTTCGCTTGTTAACAGAATATGGGATTACAATAAAACACTTTTCTTAAATATGCTCTCTGGTAATATACATACAGCCGTGTCATGAGCTCTTTAGGAGCTTTATCAGCTCTTTATCCCTGATCATTTATATGTTATATATAATTAATATACCGACTGATTCTTCTTTATCTATCCCTTTAAGAGTCTGCAATGAAAAAGAAGGTTTGAATAATTGGTCCAAGGAAATTTGCGAGGTGCTGAGCAAATCTGTAAAAATGACGAAAAAAGCATATTTGAGCTTGGTGAAATGCTTTTTTTTTCCAAATTAAGATAACTTATTCGGCACTTTCCTAACTCTTTTTTTGCCCTGGTGGCTCTCATCCCTGTGGGCTGCACGAACGCACCGTTTAAATGAATGTCTCAGCCCATCTTTCTGACTGTAATGATGACGGAAGACTCACAATCTAAAGAGCAGCGGTACGTCGAACTAAAATCTGAGCAAAACCTGTGTTTTCGGAGACGTGGCCTGCTTTTTCTTTTCCCCCTGAAGGAGTGGGGAGAAAAGGGAGCATCAGACCCACCTGGAGGGTCACCTCCAGCAGAGCATTGCACTTGAAATCAGCATGCACAACGAAGGCTCAGCCGCGTTAATTGGCAACGGAAGAGTTGTGAATGGGGGGCAGAGTGTGTGCTTTGCTGTGGTGTTCCATCTGAAGCCGTTTACTAGGGCTGATCTGGTGAGCCTGATGTGGCAAATGGCAGTGATTGCGCCTCTCAGACGCAGTGAGTGTATTCAGCCTGGCCTGGCGCATGGTGGGAGCTGACAGCGCTCTTGCTCACCGCGCTGAGGCCGGACATCAGGCCTGCTGCCGGGGCTCACTGCGTTTCTCCCTGGCCTTGTCATTGCAGGACACGGCGGAGTCAATCAGCTAGGGGGGGTGTTTGTGAACGGGCGCCCGCTGCCGGACGTGGTGCGCCAACGCATCGTGGAGCTGGCGCACCAGGGGGTGCGGCCCTGCGACATCTCCCGCCAGCTGAGGGTCAGCCACGGCTGTGTCAGCAAGATCCTGGGCAGGTAAGCAGACACGGAGGCCAGGCGCGGCCCACTGGGCTCCGTGCCCATCGCCTGCTTCTGTCTGGGCTTCTCATCTGATCTTACTTTCACCAAAACATGAAGTTCGTATCTTTGTGTCCAGTCGTGTTCCGACCCCGATTCATACTGTGGCATGAGGAAACCTCTGTGGAGACTCAAACCCACTGGGCATTTTAAGGCCTTTTACCAGCACAAAGAGGCCAATCCAGAAACAAAGTGCTGAACTCTGAGGAAAACACTGCGGGAGGGAGAGTTTCGCAGGGAGTCTGGGGAGCCCATTGACTTGAGCCTACCTGTCCGCGTCCCCCGTTACCAGGGCAACGTGCGGATACGCCCCTGGTCACTCTCGACTCCCCCCCCCCACTAAAACAGCCATTCCAGTCCCAGTGTGTCTCCTTGCCAAACATTCAGCAGGGAAACGGTGACCAGTTTTAGTATCGCCTTGGCAGTATTTTGAAAAGAGCCCTTCCAAACTCACCTCAAGTGTGAGAGTTACTATGGCAGTTGAAGGGGTATGGAGCTACACAGATGTAAATTTCAAACCAAAACACAAACCCCTTTGCTGATCTAAAATAGGGTAATGTAGTGCAAATATTTTTACTTGTTTCAGAATCATTGATATTTTATGGGAGCCGAATATATTGTTTCAGTATAGAAGTACTATTGAAAATATGTGATTTACCTCATAGATTTGTGTGTACTATTGTTTCGAAACGGTTGTGACCGTGGTTGGTATTGTTTCCCACTCCTTTACTTATTTAGAGCTGCTTTTTATTTTATTTTTTTTTCTTTAAAATTGTTTAAACCTCTACATTTTCGTATTAGCTCAAGTTGTACTATGTAAAAAAAAAAATGGTTTGGCTCGTTGGTTATTGGACCTAAGATGAATTTACACAAAACCTTCACACAGTTCAAAAGATTGTATACGTTGAAATATTAAAAATACTTTTGCGGCGGTGCATTATGTCGCAAAAAAGCTGCAACACGCTCTTCTGTGTGCCACTTAAGCATCCTAGAGAACTTAAGTGAACCTATAAACATTGTTCATAAGAAATTTCCGATACACTAACTTTCAGTGACCTTTCCTTGTCTATGAATAGCATAAGAATACCTCTCTTTGCGCAGTCATCTCACGTATCCCTCCTCCACCCCATTTCCTCCCTCGCCGCTACTCCTTGGTTAACTCCTCACTCTGTATGAGGGTCCCAGCTCGCTCACCCTATCGCCAGGGGGCTGAACTCCAGCTCTCACCATACTTGAGCTCTCAGTGATCGCTTATACATCTTAGGTGCTCTTATTGCTTGTGAAGTCACAGTACTGCGCTCCCGTAAGAGTAAAGCAGTAAGTGAACACGGCCGGCTGGAGGGTTTCAGTAATGCTTCAGTAATGACCCAGCAATGAGCACACAGTGAAGCTCTGAATAAAGGCTCAAAATCTAAGCTGAACGGCGGATTCTTGACCATACCGGGCCCTCGGCCGTAGCAAAGTTGTGGCGGCAGTGCTGTGTGTAGCGGTGCGGTTGTTGAGCTTCTGTGTGACAGGGGTTACCTGTTTACAACACGGCGCTCTGTGGCACGCTGGACTGTTAAGTGACTTGACTTTTCTCTTCTGTGCTGAATTTCGACATAGGCATCGCGATTGAAATTGTTGAGTCTTTTTTTTTCTGCACGTCATGGTATCGATTCAGCTGCGGACTGTTTTACGTTTCAGTTAAATGGCACGAACGTTTCAAAATGTTAAATAAGAGCATACAGTAGATGTAATACAAAAGGTGACTTGCGCTGCGAATGGTATTGTGCGGCCGAGATGCTGGAGGTTTATGGATTCTAATGTAATTTTGAAAAGGACTAGAAAAGTTATATTATCTCGTAACTAGTTCATCATTTTTTGAGATCATGACGCTTTGTACTGTATGTACAATCTATCGATTTAGGCTATTCAAAAAGACTTCAAGTGTAATACATAATTAGGTCTATTTGTTCTTGTGCAGTTTTATAAGAATTATAAGAACGTCCTTCTCTTTTTTCCTCTGTCCGTAGACTGAAAGGTTTTGCAATTCTCTCCCAGAGTATCGTATGTACACCACTAAAAAAGGACACAAAGGAAAAGATTCATCAAGGCATTTGCATCAGAATGAAAGTCGCCCCATATTTCTTGAGAAGTGCAGCAATTTTGAATGGTTGAAGGTGGAGGATTAGTTAGCGGGCCCGTCGTTATATCACAAACCCGTTTCTCATTGTTCTCTGAAAGAGAATTCTTTCTTCTTCAGCTTCACCATTGAAGCGTTGCAGAACGATTTCTCTAAGCTTTTTGCTCCATTTCAAAATTGGCTCCACCTTATTCTTGATATAATAAATAATTGTACAAATCCTAAATCCTTATATTCATACCTAAGTGCATTCTTCTTTCAGTTACACATTTAAAATATGTGTTTACTGTTACATGTGCGAACTCACTCCTCCCCTTATTAGTAAATTAGAATTTTTTGAATACTAGCTTATTTTGTACCTGTAAGAATGTTTATTATTCATGCCTAGTTCAACATTTATTCATACCATTAACATTATTTATTCTGTGAGTAACAACACAAAGTCCTCTGTTTATTCTGTCTGTTGACATTGGTAGCTCCTGCACGGGGGCTGCAGTCTTTAAGACACACTTAAAACTGAACAACTTTCTGTGGCTTGTCTTGTTAGAAATAGAGAGTTATGGTTCTCTATTTAAAAACTAAAAGTCAGAAGCCATGACTACAGGAGAGCATCAGCTCAGTGAACCCTGCACAGGATTACAGAAAGCATTGCTTTGGTTTTGTTAGGTACAGCACAAATGAAAGTAGTATCTAAATCATTTGCATGTTCACTTTCCATGTGTACAGATCTGCACTGTCCCCATCAACTACTGTCAAAATTCTAGACAGTCTGTCTGGCACATGAGGCTTAAATAAAGTCACTTCTTGCTCTCGGAAAAAAAAAAGCTCTGCTTCATTTTCTTCTACGAAGTGTGCTACATGAGAAGTAAGGTGCTTTATATAGAGATTTCATTTCCCAAAGGTTGGCGTCTTGTTTTGACCTCCGACCAAATTTTTTGGTCTTGAATGTAGAAAGTGCGCTACTGAGATCGAAATGCCACAGATCCTGCTGGTGGTTAAATACTTGTCCTGTGCCACCCAGAGCTTTTCTGTCAAGTGCCTCTGCCGTAGATTTAAGACTGAGGAATGGGCAGTTAACGTGATATGGAAGGTAAATCCAAATGATAATATTAAATAAATAATAAATTATGTAATAGTTGGATGATAAAAGAACATGGGTGACACATCTGGTGGGCATTTTGTAGAGTTTCTTGTCTGCAAAGTGAAGGGAATCCTCTTTCCTGTCCTTATAGTGTTGGCAGGGCTGGAGGGTGAGGGAGGCAGATTGAGAATTCAACCTGTCTCTGAGCTTACAGGCTCTTTAAAGCCTGGGCCTTGAAGAGCAGCACCAGCAGCAGCAGCTGGGAGCAGTTGGGCTCCCGCGACAGCCCGGTTTGTGAAACCATGCGGTCCGGTTTTGGTCATACCGGGCCTGTCAGATCTCCCACACGTGTCCTCGTTGTGCGTTTGTAGCAATTGGCCTCTTCAGTCAGCGATGTAGTTCCAGCAGCTCCTGCCCGGAACTCTTCTCTCCTGTGAGAGTGGAGACCAGCGGGAGGTTGGACATAAGCCAGAGCTCTTCCAGGCCTCTCTGTCGGGGATGTCCTACCTACAGCCTAGTGGGGCTGGGCGGGGTGTGGGGCTGACTAGGCTGGCTGCCAGTGTACAAGCACCCCCCACAGAGGGCACTGTACTGTGGAACAATTCAGTCAAGAAAGCACAGTTACCACGGGCACTGCCTCCCTGCCAAACTAAAATCTCTGCCAAGACAGGACGAGTGCCAGCTCTCCATGTAGCAGGAGGGCAGGGGACCTGGCAGAGGAAAGATACCAAAGTACAAATGCTAAATTACTAATGGCATGGGGAGAAAATTAGTGGGGACAGCACGTAAATGCGCAGATAAATGAGCCCGATTTGTAGCCTGTCTTGAATCGTTTTCTTTCTGTGGCTGGTAGTTCTGCTGGTACTGCCTCCAGCTGGGCAGAATAAAACAATGAATCTCCCCCCCCCAAAAAAAACTACCGCAGCACCTCTGCACAGGAATCCCATGAATGTTTTTCAGTGAATAGGCCCGTTTCTTCGAAAAGTACAATGAAATCTTGGCAAAAGCATGGGAAAGAATCGAAAAGTACTGCATGTTACAGATTCAAAAAACATTTAAATGCAGAACATGGTGTGGTTATCTGTCAAAAGGGATTATTTGTCTTGTTTCTTCTTTACTGTGAATCAAACATTGAATGTCAGATTGTAGAAATGTATTGACTTTAGTCCACAATTAACAGACTAATAGGTTTCAAAGAACCAGGTACAGGAAGACATGTACAGTATCAATGCTGTATAAACTTTATTCAGAAATTTCAGAAATCACAGCATAGCTATTTCCTTTGTTCAATGTGTCATTTTCTTTATTTCTTATTGGTTTCTGGTTGTCTGTCCTATTTTTGAGGTCCTCTTCCTGTGTTGCCAGCTAAAGGACAGCTCCAGGATATCATTTTGGTACTCAATTTAAGAAAAAACTAGCCCTCTGGATGCTCTTACCATTGTCCCAGTCATTGTACCAAATATTTTAAGAGACTTATGAGAGTTTTGCTTATTTTAGTGACACATTCAGAATACTCACTAAAAATGTTTCTGTGTTAATGGACTGGATAATATACTTCTTAACTATCTAATTCTTTAATTCCTGATTTGCTGCCTGGTTGTTTATACTCATGCACTGTTCCGCCAGAAGTAGCTTTTGAAATTACAGAGGAAGGTGTGGTAATGTTAGTGTTATACTGTCTTGAAACCATACATGAGCCGCTACCGTTAGCACTTGACATCAAAGCATGGTAACAGAGCTGCTTTCTTCTCCTGTACACCTCCTGGTTATGCGGTAAAGGCATTTGTTCAAAGATCATTTGGGAAAAATAAAATGAAGAAAAATAAATATCATACCGAACACAGGGATTACTTAATGCAATGGAGAAAAGGCAGGTAAAATGAGGTTCAGATGAAATAGCCTTTTATGGGTAAACTTAACTTTTAAGCTTCTTTAACAGTTAGGCAATATATTTGCATCAAATGTTTTTTTTTATTGAGAAAGCCCGACTGCTCTGAAGCAGGATCTGTTTGTTCAGCTTGGGTTTGTTTTTCCTCTTGTCATCAGTATGCCAAGGAATGGGCATAATGCAGTATTTAGACTGGTAGCAGAGCCTTAACTCTATTTTTAAAACATTTGCTCACAGGTACTATGAGACAGGAAGCATTAAACCAGGAGTCATCGGAGGATCCAAACCAAAGGTTGCTACACCCAAAGTTGTTGACAAAATCGCCGAGTACAAACGCCAAAACCCTACCATGTTTGCCTGGGAGATCAGGGACAGACTGCTGGCTGAGAGAGTGTGCGACAACGACACAGTGCCAAGCGTCAGTTCCATTAACAGGTAAGAGTCTTAGCTGCTTTGGCAAGAGACCCTGTGCTCAAAAGTGTAGGAAGGCATCAGCAGCACACTGTACCACTGCAGGGTGATGTTTGCTCTAATGCTCTAATTTTGAATTGCTCTTTTGCATAAGATAAATTCACTTTAGTGGCCATATACAATTTCTTGGATTAGGAATTTGTCTTTTCGTATGCCCCAACTTGCTTTCCATGAGACGCACAGACAGGGAGAGAAGCTGGGGGTCATTTATACGGCGCCCCTGGAGCAGTTGGGGTTAAGGGCCTCGCTCAGGGGCCCAAGGGAGTAGGATTCCTCTCCCGGCTGCGGGATACAAACTGACAACCTTCCACCACACCGCCTGGAATTGCCTGTACTTTCTTTTTTGTCAAAGTAATTTTATGAAAATAACCATAAGTATTTTTGGGATGGTGGTGGGGAAAGTTAGAGGACCGCATGCAGTAAATGAACTGAGCTAACTCACTCTGAATGAAGTTCAGGTACTGGCGTCAAGTAACCAGAGAGTTAACCTTGTGTATTATGTAGATGTGCATCAGCTTGTTTCTCTTGCAGAGTCTTGTAGATCACCCATCTATCCATTTTCTGACTGCGGTATCCAGTACAGGGGTGTGGGGGGAGCTGGAGCCTATCCCAGCAAGCCTATCTCAGGCTGTATTCCAGGATGCCAGTACACTGCAGCGCACACACAGACACTGACACACACACGCTCACACCACGGCCATTTTGTGCAGAAGCCAATTAACCTACTTACCTCCCATTAATCTTTGGAGTGCGGGAGGAAACCGGAGCCTCTTGTGGATCAAATAATTATTTGGAGAAAAGACTCTTTCGGCCCGTCCAGTTTGTCCAGGCGCCGATCCTTGATGGGACATAGGTCACGGAATATCCTATCACACCACTCCCCCTGCGTGTCATTCCAATTCATCTTCTCCATGAAAACTCCTCATCAGCGTTCCGAGGGGAAAGATGTGGGAAACAAACGACGTGATCGACTGTAAATGTGTAGTAAAGCTGTTCTGCTCTCGACATATTTATGAATAAAGGCCTTGGGCTGCCACAGCACAGTGTGTGTACAATCAGAGCTCATTGCATCCAGCCCGCGCGTGCACCTGTGGTAACTGCATGATCAGTCAAGCATTCATGTGTGCGGCCAGCTCTCATGTCACGCTGCCATCACCCAGAGCCAACGAGAGTTGCTCCATTGATTTCCTTTGGCAGGTTGTGGATGCACATAGCTCCTCTTAGTGCTCACATTGCACACCTGATACTAAGCTTGTACGGAGCACAGAAACTGATAGATTACATCACCTTCTGCACTGTGCGATGAGCTCCCCTAGCAGGTGACATCCCTTAAAAAGCGAGACCCTGTCTTTTGTCTCCCGGACCGGAACCTGAACCTTTTAGCCCAGCTGACATCTGGACCAGATGATCGGTACCACCCTCATTCTCGGCTTTCAGTAGGGAAGTGGTTTTCCCCATGTTCCGCGGAGCAGCGCTGTATTTTAAATGTGCCCCTGAGCCCTCTGCCAGGAAGACGTGTAATTCTGACATCATGCTACTCCAAAAGAAACATTTCAAGATAAGACGACTGTCTTCAGAGCCAGAATAAAGCATAAAGAGGATAAGCAGTGACTTAGGTGGAACAGGTTAAGGTTAATTCCACCCTGAAAAGTAGAAGGAAGAAGCACAACATTTCCGATGTAGAGCCTTCTTGGGGTGAGCCATTTCACACTATTGTAGCTCCCTACTCGAACCCAGTCCGTAACACAAAGACTAACTGGCACCTCTGTTGTCTCCTCACATGGTAAACTTCGGGTGTGTCAGGATCATCAGGACCAAGGTACAGCAGCCCCCCAACCAGCAAGTCTCTGCCTCCTCTCACAATATAGGTAAGTCATTTTCCATTCAATACAATATAGTACAGTATGTTCCTTCTGCTTTAAAATATTCCTGCTACCTGCACTTCTCTTTTCTGAAACACTCAGTTCCAGTGGCAGGTGAAAAAAATATTGATGGGCTTTTTAAGAGCTTGAAAATGGCTTTTTTGAGAAAAAAGGGCAGTAGTGACAGTATAGGTTTTTATCCATCAAAAACAGGTTTTTGCTTCCAAGTCTGGAGCTTTCAAAGCTGGGAGCACGACGTGAGTTTCAGTCGGCCTAACTAAGACTAAATTTGAATACTTTAAATAAAAACATCCATCAGCCCTAAAAACTGTCAATCTTGATACCGTCTCTTGTTTTAGAATTTAGGCAGTATTTGCTTTAGAAACTCCATGAATGTTGTAGTTCTTTAGTTGTACTAGCAATTACTGTATAGCACTTTTTGAAAAAGCTGAATAAATTCTGATGCAAATAAAAACTTATTGAATAAGTTGCTCATTCTTTCTAAAGGTTTTTACTTTATTGAACAACAGAAAAAGGATTTAGCGTTGTGAGCAGGGAAATAGAATAATCCTTCACAGTACGAATGTTGATTGATATCTTAGATATTCAGTTAATGTCTTTGTTTCAATGGTACTATTAAATTTGGTAAAGCACAAATATGCAAGATCACCTATTGGACCATGTGATGAAAATAGGGACTTTTAAAATTTAGAGATCTTTACAGTACCTTGTTTTCTGAAAGATCTCACACTCTATTTTTTATAAGAACAAAGTTTATCTTTAGAACAGTAAAAGAGTAGAATCATGGTCTCTGCTGGTCAAAACTCTGCATTGTGTGAAACAAGTATTCAGTATTCTTAATCATGGATTATTGTATTTGAATGAGCTCTTCGACTTCATCAATATTTCTAACAATTCTTTTTTTTCATCAGCAATTATTCTTCAAGAAAGAACCGAAAAGCTCTATTTTTTTAATAGCTAAGTCTGTTTTCTTAGGATTACTGAGATTACATTGTCTAATACCTAAGTCCTAGATCAGCCTCTTTTCCACTTTCTTCAGAGAAGTGAGAAATTGTATGAAGAGCAGGGAAGATAACTCCCAGCAAACCCATGGAGACAGTCACATTCACACACAGCACCTCTGCATATGAGACACCTGTTTCCTTCCATTGCCTTATGGATCTTTTTCCTTGACTGAGCAAATTTTAAAACATTATTTGTTTGTTTGGCAGACAGCTATATCCAAAGCAACTTGCTTGTTAGTACAGCGATAACACCTTAACCTGTATTTAGGGTGGAATAGCAGATGAAAAGAAATATAATATCATTGAGGAAGAATAAAAAAATAGTCAAAAATATGGTGTACTGTATCAATTCACAGTGCATGTGACATATACAAAGGAAATAAAGAAAGGTGACTCTACTGCAGAGGTTGGTGATAAACTGCATCTGCAGGTTGAGTCTGTCACTGGTGGCTCTGAAAGGTGGGTTGTGATTGGGGACTTCCAGGTGAAGGATGTACAGTCGTACAGCAGGCAGAGGTGGCCTTCAAAGAGCTGCTCTTCACAGAGTTCCCTTTCAGGGAACAGAAAGAGAGGTGGAATGAGAGGGTAAAAAGATGGGGAAGAGAACAGAGGTAGGAAGAAATAAATGAATGGGGGGAATAGTAGGCACAAACAAGAATCCAGAATCCAGGGTTAAAGGGGAAGCTGTTTAAGGTCGCCCAAACTCTGGAGGGCTGGAGCAGCTTTTATAGGTCCCCTTAATCCATTGACTCACATGGACGCAAGAGACAGTAAACTAAGAATTCAGAGAGGAATAAAAAACCAAAGCAAGGTACCCCCATAGGACCAGTATCTAGGACATACAGTAGTGCACATAGGAAGTGTAGCAACATTAGATTTCAAACTGATGCAAGGGAAATACATGATAGTTTTCCAAGCATCTGTGTTCCTTGCAGTACACTCTGACCCTTTAAGAGATCAGGTGTGGCTTCACGCAAGAAGAATCTGCTGCTAGAGCCATTCTAAACCGATTACTTTGAATCTTCTGTTGTTTTGGGCTTTTACTCTATTTAATTCAGAAGGTCCTGGGTAATCTTCCTGTCTGTTACTGGCATCGGCTTCAAAAACATGGCTGGGTACCTTGTTCTCTGTTTAAAGCAATGCTTCCTGTGCTTGGTTTTAAATGCAGTTCCACATATCATCCACTAATGTCCTGTGCTTCATGGTTTGCTGATATTTTCTGAAGCCCATTGGGCTGACAGTGCCTTTAAGGATTCTGAATACTTGGATCAGGTCCCACTTACTGTAGTAACCAGTCATTTTGCATTTACAAGAAGACCACCCTGCACAAGTCCTGCACTGTGAACTCCCCCCAGTGTCTTCATTATCAGCCTCGGAGACGTCTCTGCAATGTAAATTAATTTCGCGAGTGCGGATTAAAGTGTTTTTGAGTTCTGAAGATTGTGTTGATAAATAGCTTTCACGACGAGCCAGGAAATTGAAATTTCAAATTCAGCCCCGCAAAAAAAAAGTATTTGTGTGTGTTTCGAGTTGGGGGGGGTGTGGGTTAAAAGGGAGAAAGGTGGTTTGTAGTATACAGTATAGCTAATGGCAAGTCCTTCTAAAAAATTGATAATTAAATAATAAATCAAGAAAAAAGGATAGTTATTCGTTATAGTTTTCACATCGCTAGTCTGTAATAGATCTGAATATGTTTTTTCTTCCGTTAGATAACTCACTTTTCCCCCTCATTGTATTTGCCCCGGTCTGACGAGACAAGAGATTATGAACATTTGAGCACCGCTGTCTCTTTCTGAGTTTCTGTGTCTTTGCCACTGGTATATAAGCATCATCCTGTGAGTCAGCAGTATGGAAGGACAGGGCTCTTCTGGGGTTACTCAGGACTGAAGCAGTGTCTTTGAGAATTCCACTTCGTTTCCAATTCTCACTGAGAGCCAGATGGGGGATCCGAAATCCCCACAGCACTTCATCTGGTTCTAGCCAGTCTCTGCGGTGGAAATGAGGACGTTTTTCTAAAAAAAATGAAAGCTCATTTCACCCTTCAAATTCACCCTGAACAAAAAGTATAAAGACGTACTGTACAAATCTGCATTATTGAACTCTGGTAGTCTAGGACAGTAAACCTTTAACAGAACATAACCTATAACTTAGCTTTGTTTGAAGAATGATAAAATCAGGCTTTCTGTTGTTGTCTAGTTTGCTTGCGTAACGCAACATTTTTTCATAGGTGTTTTTTTTTTCTCTAGTACCTGCAGTTAAAGACTGGGTTCTGAGTGGTTCTGTCCAACAGCTAGGATTACTGAACCCTCACTGCCTGAGATGTGAATAAAGTCAACAGCAGCAGCAGCAGACGTGTGAAAAGAATGGACATTGTTATGAGCCAGGAAACGTTTATCAGTTATCATTGACGCGACTGTTTGCAAAACTCACGAGCACGAACAATTGCACCCACTACAACATTTGGTGTGTCACTGCGGCACCGAGTGAATACGGACCTTTTGGTCGTAGCTACAGGACACAATTACAAAGGTTACCATTCCGCTGATGTCACTAACAATAAGTCCAAAAAAGCTGTAAGGTGTTGTAGTTGTACTGTGGTAGTGTTGGGAACCAAGAGTGTTCAGTAATGTGTTCTGTCGCCACAGCCTCCACAGTGTCGGTGACTCAGGTGTCGTCGGTGACCAGCGACTCAGCAGGCTCCTCCTACTCTATCAGTGGAATTCTGGGAATCAGCTCCAGCAGTGACGCCAACAAACGCAAGAGGGATGAAGGTGAGACCCTATGCCTGTTGGAAGCAGGCGCCCCTGCATGTGTTTACCTTTCTTATAGGATTCACAAATTATTTAATTCAGTGTGTCCTGTCATGCATATTCTGAACAATTCTGTGCTGTTATTTCTGTTATTAATATGTGTCTTCTATCTATTCCAATAAGTACAGTGTTCCAGCAGTGTACAAGTCAAACCCAGTTGTTTTAAACAGTTCTACAGCCTGGCAGTTCTATAGAACCCTTCTTTTCTCCTTTTAGAGTTGGCAAGCCTGTAACTATATGAAAACTATAGTTATAACTATATAAAACTATACCTTTGCGAGGCCCTTGTACATTTCATTTTTCTTTCAGACATCTTTCTGAAAGGCTTTTTCTTTAAATAGAAGATAAAATTGTCCCAACAGTAACATTAAAACAGATAGTGTACACGAGCATTAAAAAAACACTCACCAAAATGAAATGCAAACCGCCAAGCTTTGCAAAGCTGGGATAAGAATAATTATTGAGGCTGGGAATACAGGCACATCATCTGAAAGAGTGTGAAGTGGCAAATATTACTCACAGGAGAAACATAGGCAGGTGGCAGTATGCTTACAGCAAAATAAAATACAGTATTAAGGAAGTGCATTTGATCTGAAGCAATGGGCGCACAAGTGTTTTGTAGCATATTTGTTACTAAAAGGATAAAACATATCTCTCTGGATGTTCTGATCTTGAAAGCAAGCAATTTGTTTTTAAGGATGTGTGTAAGTCGTGCTCAGTTTATTCGGGTTGGTAATGAAACATGTTATTCAGCTGTTTTGATGGGTGTCAGTCAGTCAATATCTATCATGTCTAAGTGTAAAAATCATAATTATGTATGAAGGAACAAGCAGAGGTCAATTCTGGGCTGGAAACTAACAATAAAAAAGCAATATTTGGGCTGCGATTTTTTCGCAAAAGCAATATTTGGGCTGCGATGTGGAAAATATTATAATTGAATTAAAAATGTCAGTCTCCCCCTTTCTCTTAAAAAAAGTCAGATAAGAGACCTGTAGGAGAGAAGTGGGGGTAAATTATGTTCCATGGATTCTATTTCCATGGTAAAGTTTTCTGTGGTTTTCACTGAAAGGCAAAGGGGTTCCTGTCTTTACTGTTTAACAAAACGTCCATGAATCCCAGTGGTATTTATCCTGCAGTACATGCCAGTTCCCTGCTAATTCAACCAGGATTTTTTTTTTGTTCTCATACCCAGCGAAGATGAGTTCCATTTTAGCTGTTTTAACTGTGTCCATTGTATTCCCCTTTGCCCGGGAAAATACGAGACAAAGAGTAATATGGGTTGGTGAATCCTGTCTTCAGCACAGCCTTCCTCCTGGCACTCATTTAAATCATGGCCTTGGCGCTTTAGATTAGCAGCCCTGTGATTTGCGCTATCGCCCCGGCATTTCTTTACGCCGCCTTGCTAGAATCGCTCGAGCGCTGCCCCCGTGCGTCTGTGGAGTGACGAGGCGCTTGGGAGAGCGCCGAGGATCGCCATGGGCTCCTGCGCAACGTAGAGTGAGTCGGCCTTCCAATTTATCTCTGTCGCGTGCCTCCCCCCCAGACACGGCTCTCCACAGACGAGTCTCCTCTTTAACCTGTCGGGCCTTCGTCAGCCAAGCAACAGGGAGCTGCATCAACGTGGGTGTGAGCCCATTTGAGCATATGCAAAACAAACATCTTTATCCGGGAGCCAGCATTAAAAAGCTATTCCGCATCGAGATGCCGGCAGTAAATGGGCCGCCACAGATGTTTCTCCTTTGGTGGGAAATGTGTTACTTTACCTGGTGCCACACAGAACAGCTGTCGGGGCAGAGGGAGAGCGTTTGTTTTATGAGCACAGCATGCTGGGACTGTTAGCATTACTCAAGCCAGGGGAGGCCAAGGCTGGCTCTGACTGTCCACCTATTTTCAGAGGGTCCCTTCTGGTACCATTAACCTCCTAGTCAAGCAGCTTAAAGTCTTTCAGTGCTTCAGTCTCATAATTGAAGGAGTACGTTTTAGGATGTTAGTAATGTGTTCAAAATAGATGCTGCTCTGTTAAGTGTATTATCGCAGGAGAATTTTTTATTTTCTGTGTGCTGTTTTTATTTTCCTGGTCTTGTTGTATGTCCATTTTTGTTGCCATAAACACGGCACAACCCTGGCAAACTGTCCCAGCAGTCTGAGACTGGCCTGGATTTCGATATGGCTTAGTTTCCAGATGAAATACATTTGGGAACATCAGCCCAGGATCTGATAGACACTGGGCCATGTTGACAAACTGCAGTGTAGCTGGGGCTCTTGTGGTGAACTCATGGAAAGCTCAAAATGTAGTAAGGCGGGAGGTGTCTCCCTTTCATTTGCTGTCAACCATTATAGAACTGGATTTGTGTGTGTACTTGTGCCACACTGAAGTTTTTTGGTGCTGAAGACCAGCACCATTCAGTACTTTGTACTCTTCACCTTGTGGCCCAAATTGGCTTACTTGCACCTATTATTAATACATTTAATGACCAATGTTATTAACCCCGTTTAAAAAAATGGTAACAAGCATCTGTTTCTGTTATTTAAAAATAATGGGAGTCCTGGAGCAAAATAAACCAAAGAAAATTACAATATATGCCGCATACTAAAGACAGGAAAAGTAATTACTTTATATCCTGTTGTGGGGTGTCTGTCTTTGGTAGAAGACAGTAGAAAGGGGGCTGGAATTCAAGACCGGGTACCAGTTATTTAGAGGTAGGGGACTGAGGGAGAAATGTTCTGTCATGCTCTCCATTCTCTCTGACCACTTCTCTGCCCACACTGCCGACCACTGTGAAGAAGTGAGCTATTGTACAGTTAATTTCATTAAGTGTAATGTAATCTCGCCACAATTAGCCATTGCCTGCCAACACTGATTAATGCCGCCTTAATTCATGTTGCACGTGCTAATGGAGCTGGCCACAGAATACAAACGGCCGTAAAGGGATTTTAATGTTTAATTAACACCGTGCAGCCTGTGGTTGTTGACACTTTTAGCGATGATGCTGCACTCTGCGGAGCAGGCGGGCTGGTGAAAGAGAGCCCGGACTTTCTGGAAAACCAGATCCGTCTTCTCTCGTGGTTCCGGATTTTCGTTTCATTTCCTGACCTCCGTGCCGCCCTCGTATGAACGCTCTGTCTGTTCCTCCGTGTCTGGCTCCTCCTGCCTCGCTGAACGCCCAGGAGAAATCCTTTGCCTTATTTATGGACAGCCTTTAGGCTGCAACTGTCAACAAGGCAATTTCCAAACATAAAGAAACGTGGACTCAAAGATGTCAGCCTTGAGTCACGAATTCCAAACTGACACAGATAGGAGCTGTGATGTGGCTCTGAGAGTGGCTACACAAGTAGCACGACAAAACCAGACATCTCCGTGGTGTTCTCTATGATGCACTGGTGAATGGCAGGTGTTCTGCTGGGATTTTGTCTTGCAAAGGATCCTTTTTGTCAAACATTGCAAAATGTGCCCATTTTACTTAAGTTAATGAAATACCATAGAATGACACCATTTACCACAATGGTTTTTTTACAATGCTGAATGTCTTTGTAAATTCCTTCTCCTCAATATATGCATTTCACTTCTTGCCAGTCGCCTCTTTAAATGGTATATTTTTCAGAAATTCCCTGGCTCTGTTGAGACTCTGGATTGCCGGAGATCATATGATTTGAGTATTCCTGAACAAGAATAGCTTTGGAATAACATCTGGGGCGTGATGTGTGAGCAGATCAGCCTGATAAGGTGAAGTGGGCATGACAAGGCATAGAGGGCTTAACAAAAGAGTCTTCAAATCAATATCCAAAAGGGTGGGCACTGACGTGAAGCTTAAACATCTAAAAATAAACAAATACACAGGCCCTCGATGCTGGAATTTGTTAACAGACAAACTAGCGCAAACCTTGCTGCTGGATAAAAGTCGCAGCACGGCGTGCAACGAAACTGACTCTTGCTGAATCTTCAGGTGGGTGTCTAAGTTTAGCTACGCTCTCAAGACGAAAGCAGGAGTCTGAGCCGTGCGCGATGCAGGCAGTTCAAAACAGCACTCCAGTCTGCTTCCTTTTCTGTTCAGAAGATTTTTTTCCTTCCCTTTTGGATTCCAGATTCATCAACTTTTCCCCCACCCAAAGCCCTTGTCGTTTTGTGACAGGGATTTAATTCTAATTCATCTGAAACAGAATTAATTTGAACTCACTGCCGCACGTCAAGTGTCGGCCTAGACCACATCCTTCATAGTATACCTCATCAAGACACCTGCTTCCTTCTGCACAGTAAGCCTTCACAACCACACTACAGCTTTCACGTTAACTGTGGAACCAACACAGACATTACTAATAAAGCCTTAAAGACCCAGGCCTCTGACCTGTGACAGAGAATCTCCTCCTAACTGACACCACACCGTTGAACCCTGGCAGTACGTAGCCAGCTGTATCTACATTCCTAGTGAGCCTCCCGCCATGGCCAAATAATTGTATAGTCGTGATTTGAACCATTGGTCTTTCTGCAACATTAGCAGAGTTTTTCAGGAGCTATTCTTGTTTTGGAGTATTTGGAATAACATATCACACGGTCAGGAGTGATTCAGAGTATCAGAAGTGCCAGGGGATTATTAAAAAATATCCTGCGTTAAAAGACACACAGCTAACAAGAAGTGAAATGCATACACTACGTAGAGCCGAAGGAATGTGCAAAAGCAATCTGCACAATGCTGGTGTAAATATGTCCTAAAAAAACATTATGAGGTCTACGATATTTTATGAAGTAAAAGTTACCATTTTGCAGGATATCATCTGTCACAGAAACCTGTAAGAAATCAAAATCTTTTACAAGATCCTAGGTGTCTAAGAGAAAAAACTACACTTTAACTAGGTTATGGTTTAATCATTCAAATGTTACACATAAGCAAAGTAATATCTACATATAAAATGTTATATCCTCACATTGAAGCCTTAGAAACAGTCTGTATTGAGGCACATAAAGA